AAAATGTAAAAAATGACAAACGTGGCAGTTGCACGGTAATGTATTCTACTAATAATGTATTCTTAAGTGCACTATTTAGATTAACTTAGTAGTCGAAATAGTAGATTTTGTATTTAATTATTTTTTTATAATTATGGTGCGGTGTAATAGCCAAGTCATTGTAATTATAATAGAAATAAAGATGTATAATATTGATACGTGATTCTATAAACAATAACTATAATAACAGACTTGATTTTACATGAGATCTCACAGCTTTTTTAGTGAAAGACCTATGTTGCGATACTTGGCATTTTTTTACATATTATGTTTTTAACAAGATCTCATTTTTTTTTTCTCAGATAATACATCTAGTTAGGCAAATACAAACGCAATGCGTTATTTCAACGACGTAATCGTTATTTTTTTTTTTTTTATTTAATTAACATAAATTATGGAATTTCGGGATTTTTCATTTGTTTCTTCCATTTATAAGCTGAACTATAGGGAAGTTTAAAATTTAAAGTTTGTGAGACTGCTAGAAGTATCTTAGAATTTTAGTGATCGATATGTCATTGATCGATTGTCACTGACAAAATTAAAGAACTTTGACTATCAATAATTTATAAACTATAAAGTATAAATATTAGGTATATTGTCAATATAGCCAGTTATAATATATTTCCTTGAACACTAAAAATTTAAACTTCTTGTTTTATCCACAATGATGTTACAGCAGAGTAAAAAATGCCTTCGAGAAAAGATTGGTTCGGCTGTGCTATCGTGTCACCTGATCACAGGGTAAGTGCTTGAACAACCAGTGGTTCAAGAACATATATCAAATGTTCAGAACAATTATGCGACAATTCGATGCACTATCTAAATATGTCATAGAATACTGGTTACAGTTTTTTAGACTGAGATTCTATACTGTGTATAACCGTCGCGGCGTGCATTGCCACTTTCAATCAGTGGACTATCAACTTGTTTGTTACACCCAGTAGTAAAAAAACGTTGTATACCAATTGTTAATATTTCTGATGAAAATTGCAATTCAAATATACCGTGTACCATTAAAATAATACAAATCGTTATCATCACATAAAAATATGAAATAAACCTGTTTAAATTCATTAAGAATAATAATATTTTTAGATTTTTTTATTGCTATATGATGACAATAAAAAAATCTAAAAATATCTAAACAAATTATAAACACAACAAAAACGAATTAGCCAAATAGGTGCAACCTTTGCGCAATGACTTACAAATATCCGGGAATAGAATTTTATTTAATTAGATTATAAAAATAATAAAAATAAAAAAAAGTATATCAATATTAGATTTCTTACCGACTCTTCTATCATAGCATTCATATTCATTCGATTGAGTATGCATACTCATTTGTATCTTCAAATTAAGGTCGATTGAATGCTGCTATAGAATACGCATTTGCTCTACATTGGACATTTACTTTTCTATATTTTTAAGATTTGCCCAGAGTTATATGATATTAATTAACTTATTGTTTATTAAGTTATGGAAAAAACTCTCAATCATAATAAAATACTTCTGGGCACGGGTGTCTCCTCATAGTTAGAGGAGAATATAGCCTACTACTACTATGCTAATTTATTTATTTATTATAAGGCAATTGATAGAATATTTGATTGTATTGACTTTAAGACATAAACTCTACTTATTATCAGTGGGAGAGACATTTTAGTACTACAAGTATAAATAAGGCTATAGAATTGTTTCATCACTAATCCCTACCAGTCAATTTCCTTAATAGCATCTCCTCGCTTGTAGTAATATAGTTTCCTTATTTTTCAATAACCAATAAATGTTATTTTCATAATTATAGTACTCGTATATATCAAAATAAGAAGAACAGTAGTTATACTACAGTAATGTCTCATATTTTAATATGTAAACTAGTTATTACCTTAAAATCTCCTTGCTTGTAAATAAAATAGATTTTTATTATCATTTAACAAAAAAAAATCTTTAAATAACAACTTTACAAATATATACTTTTATAATCTTAATTAGATTATAATTTAACTTGCAATGGTATAGAATATCTGTCTATACTGACGTAAGGATTGGTGCTATTTATATTTTTAACTATCATAAATGTAAAATTATAAAAGATTTATATACGCGTTCACAAAGGAACATTCAACACGTTTTAATGATATGTGGTGTACAAATAGATATGTTATTTTAATTAATTCACATGAGAAAACTCGCATTTTAGAGCGAAATATTAGTAAAATTATCCTACAAAAACTAATGACATAGTATACTTACTGAAATCGAATTCGATTACACTTCGTACTATACTTACTCTGCAAACAGATGTCGAAATTTTAATATATAATTAAATTGTGTTCCGACTTCAATTTTGGCAAAACCAGTTATTTTGATTTAAAAACTAAACTACTGAACCAATTTCTCTATCATATCCTTTCAGATAAAAAAAATCCAAATCGGTTTACAACGGATGGAGTCATGAGGTAACACACATAAAAAATAAACAACATTCAACAAAATTGAGACCCGCCTTCTTTAAGTTGGTTGAAAAAAGAAAATACTTTATATTTTAAAACTTTTGAAATGATAAAATCAGATACTCTGACTTTATATAGCGACATAGAAAAACATAATATAGGACTAATTGATCTTCATTTATTTTTATGTTCGCTATAGTTACATCTATTACACATAGACAAGCGAGAGCCGGTTTTATGTTATTAATAGAGTAACTTATTTTAGAATCCGAATTCCATAAGGTAGATACCTACTCAACCAGTATCTTTTTTATTCGACTTTGTTTAATATTCATTTTAATATTTACATATTACGTTTCTAAATATTATCTATTAAATATTAATTCCTTATATATATATTAGGTGCTTATATATGAAATTAGCGTTTTGTCGTACTGACCACTTGGATCTGAAATATAATATAATATCTCCTCTTTGGTTAAGAATTCCAAATTCAAATGTATAGATTACATTTAGCTGGTACATTTGAGTTTTAATTTTTTTCATTTATTTGTTTTTTCCTCATTATTCTTTTCCTTGGTATCGCTTATTACCGCAAAATAGAAAACATGAAATATCGGTATACTTACGAGTACGAGTTCTACCGTGATACCAGTGCTGCAGAAACAGCTCGACGGATTGGTGATGTGAAGGGCGGTGGTATCGCAAAAAAAAGCACAATACATTTTTTGTTTCAACGTTTTCCTTGTGGAAATTTCGACCTTCAGAACCAACCCCGTGGACGGCCGGAGACCAAAGTGAAAAATGAAGAATTAAAGACTATTGTGGAAGCGGATCCATCACAAAGCACTTCAGAAATAGCTGCAGGATTCGGGGTAAGTGATAAAACTGTATTAATTCACTTCAAGCAAATCGGGAAAGTAAAAAAACTTGAATTAGCCATCATTCATTCTTCATGAATTAAATGAATCAAACTTGCAAACACGCATCGACTGCTGTGTTACTTTGCTCAACCGACACAATAATGAAGCGATTTTAAATCGAATCATTACTTGTGATGAAAAATAAATATTGTACAATAATCGGAAGCACTCGTCGCAATGGCTGAATCCTGGAGACCCAGTCAAATCCTGCCCTAAACAAAAATTTACTCAGAAAAAGTTCCTTGTAATTGTTTGATGGACTAGTTCCAGTATCGTTTACTACAGCTTTCTAAAATCTGGCCAAATGATTACAGCAGATATCCATTGTCAGCAACTGCAAACCATGAAGGAAGTACTAGCTGCTAAACAGCCGAGATTAGTCAATTGCTCTAGGACACTGCTGCTTCACGACAACCACTAAATTAAATGTACTACAATTGGAATGTCTGCGAAATCCACCATACTCCTTGGATCTTGTTCCAACAGATTACCATTTTTTCCGGAATTTGAACAACTTCTTACAAGAAAAAAAAATTCAACTCCGATGCGGCAGTTCACACCGCCTTCAATAAGTTTATTCTCTTCCCCATGTTTTTTTTTTTTTTTAGTTAAGGAATCAATGAACTACCTGTGAAAGTGCACAAATAACAAAAGTGTATACTTAGAAAAATTAAAAATATATTACAAATTTCACTACTGCTCTATCTAGGTGAGAGAGCATCTCAGATTTTTACAATTCGATTAGATTGTTTACAATCATCTAGACAACACTCGAGGATAGTAATATCTATCAATTTTCATCATTAATTTGTTTGTTGATCTTTAATGGGCAGCACCAGTTAATGTCGTTCATCTTATTAAAAATGTTACTATTTACTACTGCAATAGGATTCAACGAAATCTGTCACCTTTTTACTGATAATGAATGTGCTGACATCAGAACTGCAAAATGCATGGTTAATGTTGAAATAAACTAATTTTAAACAGAATATCTTCTTCGTAATTTTGACGAAACGGAAAAGCCTCCATTGCAATGCCTTGTACCTTGAGCAGCAGAATATATCACAATTCCCATTTCCTAGAATTGTAATTACAGAATAATCGTGAAATCAATGAAGAATATAACTTAGGAAGCACTCTCTCCCGATGTTTCTTGTTGGAAAAGTTGGAACTTAAACTTCTCTGAAAGCATCCTTATATGATCTTGTTTCTTCAATAAATACTGTATTAGTAAAACAGACAGCACATCAACATTCAAGTATGGGCATACCTGTACCAGCTACATATACAGTATATCTAAAAAAAAATTTTTCGTAATTTTTTTAAAGCTTTCTTTTATGTACTCATTTATACAAAAAATGCTGTATTTGATCGATTTAATTGTAACATTTAAGTTCTAAGATTGAGAGAGGCAAAGCTTATTCTGAGTGGCCTAAAGTCCTGTCAATATCTGAGTATGATAGTCCACCTGTACATGAAACAGTTTAGGCAACAACAGCGCCATCGGCGTCGAACGGCGTCTGGTGGCACTAAAGACGATGGACGACGCGCGGCGCCCCACCGCAGCGCGCACAACGACCGCCACGCAGTCTTCCCGCGCGGTCCGCACGTGCGTCTAGCGTGCCTTTATATCGTGCTACAACTTAACGTTTTCGAACGTTTCTCAAATATTCGAATGCGATATATTAAACTGTCGTTGTGTATCTAACTGTGCTTGTCTATCGTCCAATCGCTACTTACTGTGAAATGACTTCAGTGCTCTATCAATTAAAGTTGTAATTACATATTTTCCTTACTAAATTAATTAGATCTTACATAGAACCGGAAAGCATTAAATTAATGAATGGAATTTATTAAAGCTACACTGTATCGCTGAATGGAATATATGGCAGCTAACTGAATATTAAAATTAAATGGTAGGTACATGTGTAATCTCCACAAGTTATTCTAAATTTTGTTAACTTATCAATGTCAATATAAACTAGTGTATCATGTTGGGATAAGAACTGTAAACATATAAGCTTATATAAATATTATACTTTCTAATAACTAAGAATATATTGATTTAGGATTAAATAATAAATTTCCTTTAAAGTTAAATTTTTTGTTATATTATAATTTTATCTACTTTATTTTTTATAACTGGCATTAGTTGGTTTATGTTTTTATAAAATAAAGCGCAGAATAACTTCTTTTGTACTAATAATACACAAATAATTTACGTAAAAACATTTTATTTTAGCTATTTATTACTGCTAAATCCGTAAATAATATCAAAGATTGTATAATAAATATGCTAAATATAAATAAAAATGTACTTAATAAATAAAATTTAAAACATGGAAGTTATTACAATAATTAGATAAAAAATCCGGTTATTTAATGATACATATAGGTATAGGTAGATACCCGTATAAAATCTAATATTGTTTTTCTTCTAACTTATAAATGTTTTGAAGTTATATGTTCTTATACCTACTCATGATTATTTATACACCGATAAAATACTACTATCTGCAAACTGGAACATAGATATTGATATAAAGATAAGATACCGTTACTAATTGTCACTCTATATACGTACTTACAATACGTACTACACATAATTTTAAAAATATAACCGGTTTGTTGTTATCTATGTTTTAACAATTTCAACAATTTTCCAATGTAACTTTATCATTTTTATTTTACTCATAGCAACGAAAGCGAATACCTCACATAGTTAGGTAGGTATGTAAGAAATGCCTTATTGCATGCATTCCTATATGTCTACTTATTACATATACACAAATTATATTTGAGTGTAACTACGTGATCGTATGATTTCGTCATGTACCTAAACATAACTACTTCTATGTCTCATACCTATAGTCAATTATACATTGGATAAAGTCCTAAATTTTACTTAATCGAACTCAAGATCTTAAATTTGAGAAAGTAAAATTAAAATAAATAAACGACTTTTTAACTTAGTAAATGGTTATCAGTAGTCGACCAAGTTATCGTAAAGTAAAATATTGAACCGTATAATATCGGTTCACTCTTACAATATTAGCACACTTTATTGCTATAAAAAATAAAGACAATATATTTAGGTACAGAAAAATTCTTAGTTATGTGTACATAAGCAGCTGTTTTTCTTATATTCATTCTATTCATTTTCATACCAATTCAGCTGAACAAACTAATTATATTATATGTAGTATAACTATATTTTGCGGTTTTGTCTGCATGAATCAAGATAAAAATATCATTTGTATTTTATTAACTATATTAAATGAAATTTGATATGAAATCGTATAAGCATAATTATGTAATAAATATCTAAACATATTGTTACAAACTTTCACATTCATAATAATATAAACAGAATCGTGTATAAGTAGTTCTTGTGATTTTATTGGACATGACAAAATTTTATTCATCTATTATTCCATTTAAAATGAAAGCAATAAAAAATGGTAGGTATTTTTGTTTTAATAACTGTAAAACAAGTGTGTCAGCAAATGAAGAAATCTGTTCTATTGCAAATTCTCGTTTCTTTATTTATTTCATAAGCTCTGAAAAGATATTTGCCCTATATTACGGATAGAAGTCAATGAACTATGATGAAATCATGAAACCATTTTCATTTTTATCGCCGCGCTACAACTTTCATTACATTTCATGACATACAACCTAGATAATATTAACTAATGAGGAATATATCTTGACGCCAGTTCTCTTGTATGAAATGTATATAAATGCTTCCTATTCTTACACATATAACTTGTTGTGTAAGAATAAATTATTTATTCTTCCATAGTTCATTTAACCTCCTCAAGGATCAATTGTCTTATTTCTTATCTACTCTATAACAACTCCTGTACAAAATTTTGTATTCCCACAAGTTTTGACAGTTGAAAGCGCTATTAAATAAAGCTATATTAAATATAAGGAGTTTTATTAAATACTTACTTTATTCAAAATATTAAATTAAAATTCATTTCATAGAAATTATACAGCTGTATTTGAAGATCGTTGTTCTCTACTTATGACCATAAGAATTGCTATATATATAATTCTGTCTATTCACAAGACTATAAACAATATATTATCGATATAACCTCGACATCTGCTAAGTACGATACTCATTTTATAAGATTGGAATAAATAATATGGCAAAACTATACTATGACAAAAAGTTATTGCATATTCTTACAATGCTGCACATATTAGTATATGGTTAAATTTGTTTTTTTTTTTTTCTTTACTTGCACTTACATATTAAACTTTGTTCCACTAGTCTCCTCTTCTAATATCTTGAGTATGAAAAGAAAAGATACTACAATACATATATTACTACTATGTCATATATCTTAGCCAATTCAATAGAGTGTATTACTGTGTTCATTTTATCACTATTTAAAACACGTTACTTATTTCCGAACAAAATTTTAACAATTATTATAAAACCAACATTGTATGACGATAAGTGGTTGCCGTAGTTATCATCGCAGATGTAAAGGATGTGTCGCCGACTCGACCAACCATAACGTTCTATTTCTACAAAAAAAACTTTTTAAAACTAACTCATTGTACAACAGAAACATAACACTACAAAAATAACCATATTCGATTGCACTTTTCTCTGTGAAACAAATTTATTCTAGTCAGATATTTTCAGATATAGGGTTATTTTATATCGTACTTTTTCAACATTCGGCTACTTTCATTACTGGCTATATCAGTAGATTAAAAAAGTATATATTTCGAAACAGAATTATTCAACCATGAATAATGAATAAAACAATATAAATCTCATTAAAAAAAAGTTTAACAAAACTTGCCTGAACAATGCATCTTCACCGGTTTTAAAACAAACAAAAAATATCCACCTGCTCACTTATTTTTATTTGTCCAAAGTGTGTCTCCCCTACAGAATGTAAGCAAGTTACGATCAGAGATGCGTTCCAATTGTAATAACATCAATTGATTTAAGTCTATTTTAGTGGGAGGAACAAAACGAGGTCACCGACCGGCAATTATGTCCTCCTAGAGACTCCTCTTGTACAAGCTACAATCGGATATTACTATCATTGTTTTTATGTCGTTTTAGACAGACGCTACGTTAATCTAATATCTTGATGTTTTAGTTTTATTCAACGAAATTTCTCTTAATTCTTACAATATTTCAAATTATGTTATACTATTAAGTTAACATAATTTAAAATTAATTTTGAAAAAATAGATGTTAATCGAACAATACGAAACTTGCCTACTTACAAAACTTTCTACTTTCCACGCTCTAAAAACATAAGTATTAGAAACATCGTATCATTCGTATCGTAATGTTAAACTAACAACAAGATACGATCGACTATTATTAAATATTTGACAATTAAACAACTGTATATATTTATTATATTTTTTAAACCAACTAATATTGTTACTGAATTACTAAATAAAATTTTATAATTACATAAATACATTTTAAATAACAGTAAGATAACGAACAGTAATAATTCACAAATTAAATTATCATGTCTAGGAACCAATCTACAGACAATAATATTCCCAATAGAATATTAATATTTTATTAATACGAGCAGGGCATGTTACAAAATCCAATAGCACAGAAAGCAATTATCGGGGTGTCCTTTCACTTGCTCGTTGATGGTAGTGGTGTGGTATGTATGTGGTGTATAAAGGCCCATTGGAACCGCAGCCGGTGTGCTTCGAAAACCGGTCCGAAAGGAATGAGACCAACTTGTGACTCAAGGTAATATTACAATGTTGATCAATCGAATTTTGGAATAACGATTAAAATTGTTAACATATTAGTATAGGAAAAGAATATATAATTTCTTTAACCATATTTATTTTTCATAATCAAACATCTACAGTCATAATACCGTAGTTAAGGTATTTAAATTCGTGGTTTGAATATTATTAGAAAATCAACATGTTACTTTAATTTTTTCATATATACAATATTCTTTACTAATATTATAAATATGAAAGTGAGTTTGATTATTATCTTAAAACGTTTTAATCAATCACTATGAAATTTAGCATACTATATGAGATGCAGAAATATATATATATATATATATATATATATATATATATATATATATATATATATACAGGCTACTTTTTATCCTGGTGAGTAAATATATCCCAGTCACACGGACAAAGTCGCAGATAAAAGCTAGTAATTGATATTGAAGTGATGAATATATATACATGTCCATGTCTATAGGTGACGGTAACCTCTTTCTAACAGCTTAACAGCTTATTTGCCTTTCTAATTATCATAAAAAATATTTAGCATTAACATATTTGTTATATATACTTACTTATTACTATTCCAGAATAACATGTAGGTTTAATATTTATATTACATTAACATTTTCATTTTATTACTTATCTTATTAATATGCTGTTAACATTAAGAACACAATTTATGTTATACAATGAGTAAAATTTATGGGTATTAAAAACCCAACTTACATATTATGATTTCTGTAGTAATAAAAAAATTAATCATATTATTCTGCATCAACAATAATCTACAAATTTATATATAGTTAGGTAGTAATAGCACAAAGCAATTGATTTAAGACAGAGAATGCCATTTGAACGTGCAACTCTCTAAACCATTCGATATCGCAATCTTAAGAAATACTAACCAGATCGAGAATTGGTGCACCAATCGACAATGACGCGATAAAATAATTTAAAAAGAATAACTACTATATAGCGCTCATAATATAATTTTGATGTTGTTCATTTAATGATGAACGTGGACGAATGCGTTACGAATTTAAGTATAAAAATCATTTCTTTTTTAACTAAACCGACTTAAAATATATGAAATAAAATAAAAAAAAAAACATCAAAATGCGAAAATTAAACTAATTTTAAACTTTTA